GTGCCTTTGGGATGGGCCAAAAGGACTCCAAAATGAGACCCAAAAAAACCCCAAAAATCCCAAAACAAGACCCAAAAAACCTCCAAAATGAGCCCAAAAAAACCCCACAAAAATCCCCGAAACAAGACCTGAAAAAGCCCCAAAATATGCCCAAAAAAACCACCAAAAATAAACCCAAAACCCCACAAAAATCCCCAAAATAACCCCAAAACCCCCCAAAAATAAACCCCAAACCTGCCAAAATAAACCCCAAAAATAAGCCCCCCAAAATAAGCCCCAAACCCCCAAATAAACCCTAAAACCCCCCAAAGATGCCCAAAATAAGCCCCAAAGAAACACCAAAAATAAGCCCAAAAATCCTCCAAAAATCACCAAAAACAAGACCCAAAAAACCCACCAAAATCCCCTCAAAAATCCCCCAAAAAACCCCCAAAACTCCACCAAAAATAAGCCCCCAAAACTCAAAAAATCCTCAAAATAAACCCAAAAACCACAAAAATCCCCAAAACAAGACCCAAAAAAAATCCTAAAATAAACCCAAAAACCCACAAAAATCCCCGAAACAAGACCCAAAAAAATCCTAAAATAAGCCCCAAAAAACCACAAAAATCCCCCCAAAAAAGACCTGAAAAACCCCAATATAAGCCCAAAAACCCACCAAAAATAAGCCCAAAAACCCACCAAAATCCCCAAAACAAGACCCGAAAAAAATCCCAAAATAAGCCAAAAAGCCCACCAAAATCCCCAAAAACAAGACCCGAAAAAATCCCAAAATAAACCAAAAAAACCCACAAAAGAATCCCCAAAATAAGCTCCCAAACCCCACCAAAAATAAGCCCAAAAAACCACAAAAATCCCCAAAATAAACTCAAAAAACCCCACCAAAAGTAAGCCCCAGAACCCCACAAAAATCCCCAAAATAAGCCCCAAAATAAACCCCAAAAACCCACCAAAAATAAGCCCAAAACCCCCCAAAAATAAAGCCAAAAGACCCAACAGAAAGCACAGACAGTGCTGGAAATAAGTTTGCTTTAGCGAGGGGGAGGCGTTCCTGTTTGTAGAAAATCTCAGTTGTATTTTGTTGTCTGACTTTTTCAAACACTCTTATGGAAAGAGCGCATAACGAGTAACTTGTTGTTGCTTTTGCACATGAAGAGGATGAAGAATATGTGGCGTATTTTGTGGAGTTTCGGTTTTAGCTTCCAGTTTGTTGAAGGCTGTGGCTTAGAATGGTAGGATCATAGAGACATGGAATCACTTACATTGGAGAAGACCCTTAAGACCATTGGGTCCAACCATCACTGCCGAGTCCACAACTAAACCACGTCCTTAAGTGCTGCATCCACGTGCCTTTCAATTACCTCCAGGGGTCATGACTCAACTACTTCTCTGTGCAGGCTGTTCCAGAGCTTGATAACCGTTTTGGTTAGGAAATTTTTCCAAATATCCAATCTAAACCTCCCCTGGTGTAACTTCAGGCCGTTTCCTCTCATCTTTGTACTGGCTGACTGGGGGAAGAGGCCAACCCCCACCTGTCTACACCCTCCTTTCAGGTAGTTATAGGAAGTGATGAGGTCTCCCTGAGCCTCCTTTTTGCTGGGCTAAACATCCCCAGGTCTCTCAGCTGCTCCCCATCAGACTCGTGCTCCAGACCCTTACCCGGCTTCGCTGCCCTTCTCTAGATACACTACAGCACCTCAGTGTCCCTCTTGCCGTGGGGGGCCCAGGATTCAAGGTGTGACCTCACCAGTGCCCAGCACAGGGAGACAATCACTGCCCTGGTCCTGCTGGCCACACTATTGCTGACACAGCCCAGGATGGCATTGCCCACCTTGCCCACTTGGGTACGCTGCTGGCTCATATTCATACGACCGTCAACCAGAAGTTCCACATCCTTTTCCAATGATTCCAGCTTGGCTGATTTCGGCAGATAAATGCAATAAAAATGGATCTGTCACAGTGGATGCATTCATTCTACACCTTAGTCTGCTTTAAAAATTCTTTGGTGAAGCAAACAGGCCCCACTCACAGCCCTCTGTGCTGGATTTGAGTTTCCCATTTTTGGTATTTGTGAAGTGTTCTCCCTACAGCTTCCTCATGTCATTTACTTCAGGGGCTCTTATACCAACGAACAGACTTTGTAAATGAAGCAATTTTTTTTTATTTACCTTTGACCTTTCATTGGAATGTGTTGGTTTCTATTTTAAACTACTTCAAATTTCTTTTTGTTACAGAATTCTGAAAGTCATGGTTTATACACTTCCATAGAAATGAACATTTTTTTGCTAATTTTTGACATTAGTTAATATTTTTAAGATCTTTGAGGTACTCTGCATCCCCCTGTACATCCTAAAACTTTCTTTCCCATTTTAACCTGTCCTTGTCATAAATGTTTTTAGTATTTAGAGAGATCTTTATTTTGTTTTGTATTTTGGTCTGATTTGATTTACTTGTAAGTTTGTGAAGAAAATCTTAGCTTTAGCTTATCCTATGCTAAACTTCTGAATAAATATGCCTTATTCCTTAAATGTTTTTCGATATCATTTTATGTAGGTAATCTTGATTTTCATGAAGAAAATAGCAGAGTTAGATCTACTGTTGTGTTGGCTGCAGGATCCTAAAATGATAGAAGGGTTTGGGTTGGGAAATCTGTGTCTCACAAGTCTAGTAGGGAAGGATTTCTTCCTAGTACCTGATCTAAATCTTCAAAGCCATTACTTCTCGTCCTGTTAAAAAGTCCTTGGAAAAAGTCCCTCTCCAACTTTCTCACCAGCCCCATTTAGGTGCTGGAAAGCTGCTCTAAGGTCTTCCCAGAGCCTTCTCTTCTCCAGGTTGAAAAACCCCAACTCTCTCAGCCTGGCATCAGAGAGAGGTGTTCCAGCTCTCTGATCATCCCCATGGCTTTCCTCTGGACTCGGCCCAGCAGGGCCACGTTCTTCTTATGTTTGTGGGCCCCAGAAATGACACTTGGAAGCTTTTGGTGTGTGTTGGAAGAGTAATCTCTTTGTCTGCTCCAGCATGTTTTATTCCAGTGTGTTTTTTCACTCTGCCAGGAAGGTACTTTACTTTCTCGCTCGCTTCAGCTGCCGCTTCATGGCTTGTTCCTGCAGGTTTTAGGCCTCCAAAATTTATCAGATAATATTATTTAAATAAGTTGACACTGTAGTTATTCTTTGACTGGTACTGATTTGGATTCTAAACATAAAAATAGTCGGAGAAATGTCTTTTCCTTTGTTCATTTCTTAATACAATAATTTTATCCAGAGCTCCACTTCAGGATGTGCCTTAGAGAGCCAGTGCCACCCATGATAAAGCACTACCAGGAATTCTGTCCAGCAAAGGTACCAGCCAGGAACAGTGGTGTGAATCAAAGGGAACTTCCACCCCTATCACCAGTAATTCAGCTGAGTAGTGAACTCCATTACCAGAGTTAACTGTTTGAAGATGGAGTTTGTACAGTGATCAGCAGCTTCCTTAGGCATACTCAAGAGAGATGACAAATACACTGAGATGTGATATCCATGCAAATAGAACAATTTTGTCAGTCCTACCGTGCCATGATGGATGATCCAGTAAACTTCTTTTATGGCACGTAATTGCTAAGCGATCTGCAAAAATTACTCTGCACTAATTCCAGAATTACCTTTATCAGTGTTGAAGAAAGGCACACAAAAAAAATATTTTTAAATGGGAAATACTGGTCTTATTCTGTGTTCTTCACCTTGTCATAGCCTTTCTGAAAGGTGAACTTTTAGGTCAATGTGAAATACTAAAATTGAATACCAAAAGCTTTTTTTAACAAGTTAATAATGGTTTGTGTTCTACAACACGTGGCATTCCTATTCTGAAATTTAAGGGGTCAAAGTACCAATATTAAGTGCATTACTGTATCAAAGGCTGCTGACAAAAGCTTTTAAGACATGGATGTTTTTAGTCTACCATGATCAGCTAGAAAAACTGCATACACTTTTTTTTTTCCCCCCATGGAGTTACACTCACACATAAAAAAATCGAATAAAACCATGCAATATCAGCAAGGATGTTGGAAGCAGAGAATTTCTCTTCTTTTAGCTAGCCACCTAAATGCATTGTGTACATTCTATTTCTAGAGCTCTCACCATATTTATTACTTACCATTGCACTATACCCTTCTGCAAAAAAAAAAAAAAAACAAACCCACAAACCAAAATAACCCAAATTACACCCAGAAAAATGATCCATTTGAAAGTTAGAGACCCACCATTCCCCAAAAGATGAAAATTTCCCTTCTGCTGGGTGCTCTTTATTTATTTATTTTCTCTGTCTGTTATGTATCTATAATAGCTTCCACTGAAGGGGGATTGTTTTCAGGATCAATGGCCATGTGATTTGCTGGGAATGACCTTGCTTGACTCCTGACCATTGGACTCCAAATATGTTTAGAAAAACAATACTTTGTAAGAAAGCTCATTGAATTCAGAACATGAATTGTCTACAGTTATGCATGTAAGAGTCCTAAAATTCAGATTAAACTGCAGAATGTGTGAAATGTGACTGTGAGTTGGTTGGTTTGGGATTTATTTTTTTTTTTAATATTCTGAGCATTCGATAACTCTATAGAATGACACAACAGCAAAATCTGTGAGAAGAATGGCTGGAAAGTGTATGCAAATGTTTGTTTTATTCAGCAGCAAGGGACTAAGCCTGTCCTTTCAGTTTTCTCCTTGCTGTTTATTTTTTGTATTTCAGTGCTGTCTGTTGGCTTTGAGACACTGAGCATCTTCTGTCTCTCTTCTACACACATCTGCAAAAATGTGAGAAAACTGTCAGATTGGTGAGTTCATACTTGTTAACCCAACAAAATACTAAAGCTTGGGAAATGCTTGCTCAGAAAATAACTTATGGTTATTTTCTTACTTTTGGAGACAGTTCATTTCAGAAGGATGTTTGAATCTACTGATGTAAAAAAAAAAAAAAGAGAAATTTCTTATACCAGTCTGAAAATTTTCCATTGCCAACTTCAATTTTCTTTTTCATCTTACAGGTTGATACAGTGAATTATCTTCAAGTGAAAATGAGAGGAAAATCATCAGTACTCACTAAAACTCATCTAGTAGGAGTTAAATGATTTTTATTACATTATAGCTCCTCTGAACTTCCCTGCAGTGAGGAGCACATCTACTTGCCTTTGTTTTTTTTAATTCTGCTGGTTTTTAGTATACGATTAAAAGTACTTAACATTTTTAATATTCATCATTTCAAGGTACCTTTTACCTTTCTGGCAGACATAGCTCTTTAGAGCAGTGGGGGAAAAGAGAGACTCCAGGAGCCAGAGTGGAGATTCCCCTGCAGCCTGTGGTAAGTTTCAATTCACCGAGTGTTTTATAAATGTCACTGACAACTCCCAGTGTGGCTGGTCAAATGGAAAGAGATATCTACGAGTTATGTGCTGCCTTGGCCAAGTGTTTCATTCCAGGGTAGCCAGCAAAGCCATGCCAAAAGGGAGCAGCAGAGGGAAACTTGCTCAGGAGATGCCTTGTGTATGTTTTGTTACGAAATAGCGTGCCTTGTCTTCCAAAAGTTTGAGCCCGAGCACACCAAAATACTACATTAGGTTTTGTGATTTAGATTAAAGAAAAGAAAATCCTTTTTCTGCTGTGTGTTTTTGTTGCCAGGAAAGGCTTAAAAATAAAAACAAACAAAAAAGGAAAAATAATTTTATATAATTATCACTCCACTTTTTAACCTTTGTGTAATACTCCTTATTTTCAACACTCTTTCCTTTGTAATTCCACAAACTGCACTCTCTAATATCCTTTAATTATAGGTCAGGTTGTTTTTCAGTCGGTGTTAAGAGTACTACATACTCTACATTTTTTATCCAACTCATTATATTTCAGAAAGGCAGTGTTCTGCTCTCTTTCTGGTTGTGTTAGACAACATGTTTTAGGCAAAATGTTTTTGTCTCGTATTCCTTGAACTGTTCCATGCTGTATTTCAGTATTGAGTGAGAAGAATCGCTTTCAGCTATCTGGAATATATATATATATATATTTTTATTAGCTATTAGGTTATTGCTTTAAAAATCTCTGTAATTTTTTTGATTAGTTGCAAAGCTTTAAAACCTCTTGCTGATACAACTCTCTTGCTGAAGAAAAGCTTTTTAAGTATGTTGTTTTCTTCTGTGGACAAGATGGCTTCAACTAGGTGACAAGTAAAGTTAGTTTCAATATAATATTAAAAGAAGACACATCAGAAGACATTCAAGATTAGGAGATAGTATAACAGTATGATATATATTCTTACTTCCCTGATGCTCAGGCTTTATTCAGATTTTTATTCTAAACCAGGGAATATTGATGTTAGCAGAGGTGTAATGCAGTGTAGTGGACAGTGAGTAGTTTGTGTGTTAGAACATACCCACATTGTCTTCATTTAAATGAATTCAGAGCCTTATTTCATTAATTAGATTAGCTGATGAATTTGGAAATCCTCGAAGGCACCTGAGAAAGGTACAGGACAACAAGATGTGAAATATTATTTATTGCCACTAAAATTGACTAACTATTCTTTAGGTTCTTTCATGCAGGATATGAATTACCTTTACCATAGTCTATTTTATGGTTCTAGTAATTATGTCTTACCAAGCAAGGTGAAATTCTGGCTCCCCTGGAAGCAGCAGACCCTTATTTTGTCAAATATTTTCCTATTCGCAGACTTCTACGTAGTGTCTTGACTGTCAGTTATGAAAGAAGATGATATATGAGCCAGAACTACTGTATCTTGTGGTTAACCTCCGTGTCCCTGACTTGGCATGACATACTGGAGTGAGATTGGACTGGAAAAGGATTTCACTCTGAAAATGCTTTGTTAAGGAAAGAAGGCAAAGAATCAGAGGGGAAGGTAACAGCACTGTGTGCACAAGATACAAACATAGAATTATTTATGGCAATACTTATAAGCCATTATTATTCAGTGTTTTCTTCCTGTCTGGCTGGAGGATATTGACTCTTTAAAGCCAGATGCTGACTGACTGGTAAGAACACTTAATTGTATGCATGTGTGTACCCACGGGAAGATACATCACAAGGACTAGAGGTGAACAGAGAAAAAACATTTTCCAGGAAGATTATGTTAAGTTTGATTTATTTTTCTACCAATTTGAATGACCTCCTATCTATTTTGAGGCAGATTTCCTTGAGCTATCAGCAACAGGCAAAAAAGCCCTTTTCTTCAGGCAGGCCTGTGGAATAAGCTGTTCTGGAATTGTGCAATCTGGATGTTTCTGTACTTTTGGCCAGCAAAGACTCTTGAGGCATCCTGAGGAGATGCCTTTTATCAGGCTCATGAGTACTGTTTGGTGTGGCAGGTGATACGTTTCGGAGAGCAAAGAAATTTGGGGTCTTCCGCAGGTCATGGCTGGATTACAAGTAAAAAAGTAAATGGGAGTGACTGAAATCTTTGTGATGAGAACTAGAACCTTGAGCTCAGTTCCATCTTTCTCCCCCACCCCCCCACAATGCATCTCAGCACGTGAGTGTCTTCTGTGCTCTACCAAAGGTGCAACATATAGACTTTATTCCTCTCGAAATAGTGAGATTCCAGGATGGTCCTCCCCGATGATGGCGAGGTTATATGCTGTGATGATGAATATCAAATGAATCTGCCACTGCCCATTCAGTTAGTAAGATGTCTGAGGCACGGTTTCAGCTGTTAACATTAGGCAAGGTGAGAGATGCTTTGAGCAAAAGCTGATACTCAGCTTCAACAACACTCTGCATTATATTTTACTCACTAAAACAATCAACGCACTGTACCAAGGAACAATTAGAGATAGGTAATGTTTACAGAAAAACAACTTAAAAGATAGGAGTAAATTATGCTATTCAGATTCTGCTGTTGGTTTTCAGTATTGCTTTCAGGAAAAGCACAGCTGGTTGATATTGCAGAAATACAAGGGAAACAGTGTGGGTGAACTCTGCAATTGCCAGTCTCTCTAATCTAACTCACTCACAGTACATTTTTGATTTTTTTTATTTGTTTGTCTGCTTTGGGTTTTTTTGTAATTGAATTCTCATTGGCTGAAGGTGAAAGACAGAATCTTTGCAGACAGACTCAGCCCACGATCTGGGACTGACGGCAGTCCCTCTTGGATTGAATGATCATTTTTAAAGTCTTGGGACTAATGATTAGCGTGAGACATCGTAGATATTACCCTTTGGTGTCAAATGCTTTTCATTGTTGTAATCTGATTTGTAAACCAGTACCTCAGAAACTACTTTCCCAAAAGGTTAAATAATTCAGTGGCTCTATTAGTATGGCTAATTTCATTTCTGTTCTAGTGGAGTACAATGTATATTGCCCTCTGTTTGTTCTGCATTCAAAATATTGAAATACGGGTATTGACCATCTAAATACTGTGCTTTAGAAGAGCATTGATAACTCTATTTTTACAAATAATTTATTGTGAAATTATTACACAGTGGTTTTGAAAATGAAGTATTTGCTGTGAATATTGTTTTTCTTTTAAGCTTTGAATTGGCGCAGCGAGGGAGATCATTGTCCGTCCAGCCCAGTGGCTTGTGCCCAGCAATACCCACTAGCAGATTCTAGCCAAAGAATGGAACACCAGAGTAAATCAGAGAAGCCCTTCCCCCTTCAGCTTCCAGCAGTAAGCAGATTAATGACTTTATTAGCCAGCAGCCACATCAAACCACTGTATTTGGTGGCTGTGAATTGATATCTCTTGCATGGACTTCTCTTCTTATGAATTCATTTATACTTTGAGTCTCTTGTGAATTTCACTATTTAATCACATTTTGCGTGGAGAATGTAATTCCTTCTGATGACTTTGAATTGCTGACTGTGACTGTGGTAGTATCACAATTTTCCTGTTCTGTGCTACGAAAAATAAGAAATAATTGTTCCATGTTTGATTTTGTGTATGTGGGCTGTACTATCCTAGGCATCTGTTCAATTCCTCCATAATAGCTTTTTTCCCCTCTTCCAAAGCTGAAGAAATTAAATTTGTTTACTCATTTCTGAATACAGAAACTATTCTTTATAGAATCACAGGACCAGAGAATGATTTAGGTTGGAAGGGACCTTAAAGATCATCTCGTTCCAACCTTTTGCTGTGGACAAGGACAATCTTCCTCTAGACCAGATTGCTCAGAGCTCCATCCATCCTGGCTTTGAACACTTCCAGGGATGAGGCATCCATAGCTTTTCTGGGCAGGCTGTTCCAGGGCCTCACCACCCTCACAAGGAAGGATTTATTCCTGATATCTAACCTAAATTTTTCCTCCTTCAGTTTGAAAGAGGGGAAGTTTGTCTGTCCAGACTGTTTCTCTTACCCACCTCTCTTTTCCCCATTTTCATTTTGGCCTGTTTTGGGAGGTAATGACCTTAACTATGTGCAGTATTGATGTCAGGGAATGTTGTACTCCATGGATTCTGACGTTAATAGTGTCAGCATTTCTTTTTCCTTTGTCGTCAGTCACTGATAGCTCTTCACATCTTACAGTCCTCAAGCTCAGCTGAGCACTTACTGCACTAAACAGGATGAGAAACTATATTTTTCCTTTTTTTTTTTTTTTTTCCTATTTCAAACATAAATCTCTTCTGATACCATCTAATTTGATGGGATTTTGGTAATTTTTGGTAATTTTGGTAATTAAAGGCTTCCACAAGACTGTCTTATTCCGAAGAGAGAGATTAAAAAGAGGGAAGGAGAGTAAAAGTGAGTATAAATTATTAAAAACAAACAAACAAACAAAACCAAAAAACCCCACCCAAAACAAAACAAAAAAAAACCAAACACAAAAACAAACAAAAACAAAACAAAACAAACAAAAAAAAACAGCAAGGAAACTCTACAGTCAGGCAGAATTTGCCCTTGACTGCAGATTAACGTTCAGTGATAAAAGGTTAGGAGGGACACATGCTAAAAAACGGAAAAACTGAGATCCTTCACAATTTTGCGCAGGGATAGAAAGCAACAGGGTAGATGAAAATGAATGCCTGCTGGTAAATCACTGTTAGGTAAAGTAGTGCATATGGGAAAATATTTTATTTTTTTTTTTACTTTGGCTTCTGGAGACCATTGGGATTTTGACACTAGCATGTTTGTGTGCTTAAACATAACTAAAGGAAAAAACCCTTGCTACCAGCTCAACAGGACAAAATGCTGCTTCTCTTTCACTGAATGTTATATTTGAAACACATGACTGACTGGTTTAGCTCTGTGAGAAGAACTGACTTCTTTTTTCAAAAGGAAAGGAAAAAAAGACGAGAAGGAGAAAGAAAGAGAAAAAGCAAAGAAGCTGAAAAGGAAAGGTGGAGAAGAGAACAATTCTGTTCTGTCTCACTCTCCTCTCCTTGAGAACCTAATGGGATGTGCAGCTGCTTCCTCTTCTTTGAGGTTAGCACTCTGTAGGACTTTGAAAGTGAGGGTTGGATTTTTTTTATTAAAAAGAGGAATAAAATCACTTCTGAAATCTGGTGAGTGCAATGGGTTAAAAATAAATGGATGAATAACAAAACTGTCCTCCAACCCATTGCATGCAGTGGATATTTTATTGGGCTTATGCTCAAACCATCAGCTTTCCACAGCTGTTAGAACTGTAAATGAATTCAAAAAAATTCTCAAAAAATTTTCCGTTTTCCAAGGTGATCGGAACTTTCATCCTCCTGAGGCAGCTCCTGGTCTCTGCATGTGGGGTCTCTACCCACAGGCCCCTTTCCTGCCTTCTCCTTTCTTCAAGGAGCTTCTCAGTGTAAGCATGCTCCAAATATCCTCCTTATTGTAGGAATAACCCTTTCCCATGGAAGAGATGTAACACCTTTTAAGGAATCAGCACACACTGTCCACAGTGGGGGCACAAAGAAATTCTATATTCTGATAATCAGGAGGTTTGCATACATTTCCAAATGAGAATTTTTAATTTCTTGTTACTACAATGGGCATACATATACATACTCTCCTTCTGTGCTTACACCAGTCTAGAAAGCGTGAGGATCAGAGCCTGCCATCTCCAGAGTCATTATTGTAGAATAGGTTGAAAAAACTCCTCTGGTTTAATTTATTTTTTTTTCTTGTTGGCTTGCTACTATTTTGGTTTTTTCACTAGAAAAGAAAGAAAAGTGGAGATATTAGATAATATTTGATATCAGGGTTAAGAATGAGAAATACAAGGAAGTTTCATATATATATATATAAAACAGGTTTTTTAATGTCCTTACTCATGTCTTTGTGTATAGATCCTTTTTCTGAGCCTTCAAATGCAACTGATTTTTAAAAATAATTTGGTTTTCAAGGTCTCATTGTATTTCCCTTCAAGTTCTATTTAGAGAATCACAGCATACTTTTTTCTCTATGAAAATACCTTCAGTTAGGATGTTTCAGATCTCACCATTATTAGAAAATGAAAAGAATGGATGTTGTAAACCTGAGTGGCAGACTGTTTGGGAGAAGAGGAGCTCTTCTGTGGTCAGGGATTCAACTTCAGATGGGCATGAGAGAAGTCGACACAAGAACATGACTAACTTGGTTACAAACTTGAAAGATTTCACAGGAAACAGAGTGCATCCTGGATGCACCAGAAAATTTGCTCAGATTAAAAAACCAGAACGTGTGAAACTTTGTAAAGACACAGTTCAGAAACCGGAGGAGGGGAAAGGAAAAAGGATGCTTAATATCTGGCAAATAACTTGCAGGGAAGAAATTTGGATGTATGCTGTTCTCTTAAGCTAGAATCAGAATTTCCAGGTTGCACCACGTTTGAACAGGAACTGAGTGTTGTTGAATGTCTGTGTAATCACCTCTAGTTCTCAAATCTGAAGTGTTGTTTTGCAGAGTGTTATGAAATGAACTACTATTACCGAGTTATTAGGGTGTCTAAGTGTGAAGATGTGTATGTACAGTCAGCAGTCTGTAAAACTGCTCAGGAGAATCTTATTTAAATACCTCAGGATAGCACCACACAGAAGCGTCATCAGATGATAGGCATGAGACTGGGAATGAAATGAAACAGACTTGGTAATGTCTTTTAAACAAATCTAGCAGAAAGACTTGATGTCTGATAAATTTGTTTATCTCTGCAAGTACAGCTGCTGAATGTCTTAATTCTTCACTTTAAAAGAAAGTGTTTGTGGTAAATTAATAAAGCCTTGACATACAAGTATAATGACCAGCTTTTTTTCCTACTCCTTTCTGCAGCATAGCTTCACTTTCTTCTGGAAAACAACTTACAATTTAATTATTACAAAAAGTCAAGAGGATTACTTAATGGAAGAAATAAATCAACAATGTTATTAGAGCAATGAAATCAAGTATATTGAATGTAAAGCAGAACCCCTATATTATGTTTAGCTCACAGGAGTAGGCTTATTCAAGTCAATGGAAAGATGTGCATAAATAATACTTTAAGAATTAAGTCCTTGAATAACTGTTTGTAGTATCTGGACATAATACCCATACAGAAAGTCCAATAGTATAACAGTAATGTTCGCTGCTCCCTTGTTATTTTCTTAATGTGTAACTTGGTTTATTTGAGCTGGTTAAATCTTCCTGTATAATCTTATCCAGAACATTCCCTAAGCCTGTGCTTGAGTCTGTCTTTTTTGATAAACTCAAGAACTGCAGAATTTGCCTGCACTGGATAGATATTTTTGGATGTGCTCTGATTCATGCATCCTAGTAAGGACTGTGGACTACAGGCAGAGAAACTATTGTAAGTCAGATATGTCCAGAGTAAAGTGTTTATGAAGAATGGGAGAATGTCATCATTGCATATGTGTAGCAAGATTTATGAGGAAAAACTTTCACTTATTCTGTGTGTCTCCAGTGAAGCAAATATGTACAAGCTAATTACACAGGAAGATAAATACAACATAAAAAGGAAAAGGTTGTCTAATGAATTCTTTGTCCTAAGCAGCTGCAAATTATTTAATAAAATGTATGTGCTCTCGTACTCTTGCACTGCCAGCTGCATTAAGATACTCCACAAATAGTGTCTTGCAAATTAATACACATACTTAAGTAGGACCATGCTGTTCATCATGAAAAACAATTGCAGCAATACCACAGGAATGGATTAACTGGTAGTCTTTGTTTACTCTGTCTCAGTTCCTTTGCTGAAAAAATCTATTCCCTGTATGCAAAAAGTCACTTCATAGTAGAGAAATTTCACATGGAGCATGATAACATGCTGAAACCCAGAAAGAAACTTTCAGATATGTTGTTTTATTGACTTCTCAGTGACTGGAATTAGATCTCCCTATCTTCATTGGAAGGATCTGAATAGAGATAATTTGACTATCACTCTTGGTTAAAATAAGATACAAACAAATGTGGGAGGAAATGGAAAGCCCTTTTTGTCTTAACTTTCTCATATTTGCACCACATTTTTCCTTAGTATATTTTATATCTTCTTACCACTTTTCATGAAGTTCAGTTTGTTGTTTACAATAATCTTTATTATTTGTTTAGCATTTCTAGTGTATTTCAGTAAACATTTGGTTTAAAGAATCAATATATAAAACTTGTTAGAGAAACTGATACAGATTTGAAGGTTATGCTTTACAAGTAGAGCTTAGAACATTTCTTTTTGTTTCTAAATGTTCTAATAGTTTGGTTGTTTTTGTGGGGTTTTTTTGGTGTTTTGGTTTTTTTTTGGTTTGTTTGTTTGTTTTGGTTTTTTGTCCATTGCTGTATTTCAGGTAGAAATGAATGTAAATTCTACAGGTTTTAAGGAATTAAGAGACTGAGATTTGCAGTCAGTATATGGGATAAAAATTTTTGTGTGAATTTAAAGACTCTACGTCTAAACCCAAGCGTGAATGTTGTCCTTTGCGAGTAATAACCTGTCTTGAGTTCAAACCATTTGATCACAGTACCATTTCTGTATTTTCGGCTTTTATGCAATATTATTTCTTCCCTTTTGGTTGGGTAGTAGCAGGTCGTTGTCCCCTACATTTCCATGGCTCTTTTTAAAGGTAGCCAGAAGTTGGATTTATTCACCCCCTCCCCGATGTTGTATGTTTATAGTGAAAAGACTGCATCGTGCAGGTTATCGTAGGCTCTCTGCAGTCAGTGGAGAAAAACAGAGCATGATTCATCTGACCTGTTTCAGCCCTTTATTCAGAGTTAGATAATTTGTGCCCAGAGGTTACATTTGTCCCTGTTCTAAAGTGAACTCAGATGACTAGCTTAAGTGGAGATGTTAAAAATCTACAATTCATTGAAGTGAAACCTGCCCAGGATTTCTTAATGCTGAATATTAATATGTAGTCAAGAGTGAACGTGTGCTTGCAGACCAGCACAAGTATACTACTAAGTTTCCCACTTTTCTTGGCTAGTTATTCACCTTTTTTTCATAAGTAAACAAGTCAGAGAAGTAAAGGATAGCATTTTTAGGAAATAGATTGCTGGCCCCATATAGTTGACTTGAAAGGATTTAGCCCATGTAGTACAAACTCAGTTGTCCACTAGAGTTTTCAGAGGAAGAGGGTCTTCATTTAGAAAAGGTGTAGAATACCTTTACTGTTTTTAAAATTCTAGTCATATGGAGAATTGTTTCTAGTGTGCCTGAAGATATTAAATTTTCATGTGGGATCCCTGCAGTGACTGTGTTGGCAAAGATCATTATTGCCC